TACTATCAATAGGCCCAGGGCTAGGCCTTAGGGCTTTTAGTTCTGTCCTGTTACAATCTGTTGTCTAGCTGTCCATTCTACGACCTCACTAAACTTGGCTCCTCTGAAAAGTTGCTCGTGCCATAAAACGGGCAAGCACGTGACCTCCCACGCCTCTGGTTTTTCATTATTCAATGTGAAACCTTGGCTTAACCGTGGTTTTAAAAGTTATTATATTAATATAAATATTTATATAATATTAATTTAATAAATATTATAAAATTATTTGTAAAAATTTTTATAAAATAAAAGTGAATATTTTAATATGAATAAGTAATAGTTAATTTTAATTAAAACTAAAAAATATTTATAAAATGTGTAAAAAAAATTATTAAAACTAGTAAAATACTATTTAAAAAATAATTTTTTAAACTGATTAGAAAAATTTTTTAGATTAAAATGATAATTTTACTTTATATATTTTTTATTTGATTGTTTTAAAATTTTTTATTATTTTTTTTTTCTATTATTACAACATGAGACAATGCCACCACTATTGCACGGTGTAACTACTGCACATAATGGCCATACGGGGGGCCATTGCTGCAGTGACCATGCAGTGGCCATTTGGGCGACAACAATTATCATAATTAATGATGGGTGAGAAAAGTAGTTTAAGAATTAAATAAAATATTTAAAAATAAAATTATTTAAAATTATTTTAAATAATTTTTATTTAGTTATAATTATACTATTAACGTTAAAAGTATCAAGACTTTAATTTTAAAAAATAACCTTTATTTCTAATTTTTTTAATTTTAAAATATAGGAATAAAAGTTAAAAGCTAGTTTACAAATACTTTGTAAGTTAAAACTATTTCGGACATTGCAAAAACCCTTTTCACACGCACACGTAAACACCTCCTATGATCTTTGATCAAACGATGAGAATTTAATATTTATAAATTATTTAATTATGATAATTTTTTTAATTTTTATCTATTATTGATCTTGTAATTTTTTTAATAAATTAAATTATATTACAGCACTTTTTATTTAGTATTTTACTTGATTCTAATAGCTTGGATTTGCCAGTGTTTGGGAAGGATCCTATAAACTCTGACAGAGATACCAAAAATGGGTGACCACGCATGTGGGTTCTTGGATCTAGTTGTTGATTCCATTAACTTTCTCTCATCAATCTTTAAAGTGGTTTCCAATTCAAATAATGGAAGATCTAGGTCCTTCTTCCCCATGGATGTTTGTGACTAAACTTGATAAGCTTGTAGGGATATTGGAAATCTTTAACCATGCTAAGAACCTTCAATTTGATTCCTCCAAAATTAATTTCAAAAAAATAATTCGTGAAAAGGGAAATAAATGAAAGATGAAAATTACAAATAAATAAAAAAGTAATTATATAAGATAATTTTCCTCTTTTTTCAAATTTGTTAGCTTTTTTTAAAAAAATTAATCAATTTTTTTTTAAAAATTTTTAGAAACAAAAATACCATTCACATACCTCTTCTTAGAAAAGTGACACTGTTCGAGGAGGAATAAACAAAAAGGCTAATTTCTATTTGAGATTAGGAAAACAGTGGCAGTGGAAAGCAGTGCACATGCCCTGTTTGGCTAGTCACGAGCTGGCAGGCACCTGACACTATTGATAAACTATCTCTTTTTATATATGTAATTATATTGAACATAGTGCAAATATTTTTTAATTCAAATTTCAAATTTCAAAGTAAATAAATAATTAGCATACGTGTGGCTTGTGGATAACTTAAAAAATTACAGAAATAATGGAAAAAATAATTGGGCATTCATTCAGCCGAATAGATCCATGCCAGGGGCTTGATTGGTTATAATGAAAACTTACAAGGAAAAAAAAAAGAAAGGAATTAAAGATGATCACCCAAATGGTATATTTTAGCACACAAAAATTTCCCATTTTTTGGGAAATTTTTTTGCATGTTTTTTTTTATGCTTTTCCTATTTCATCAGATTATATTTTACCTTTCTTTTTTTACTTTTTAAATTTACAGATTTTCTCAATGAAAAAAAAAAGAGTAAAGAGAGAGTCAATCAAATTTGCCGAGAGTATCGGCGGCAGAAAGGGCAATCTTTTGATTACTTTTCCAACAAGGGTTAGTTTATGACCTTACCTAAAATATCCACCAGTCAATACCAACCGCCCCCGCTTTTTACCTGAAGGGGAAAGAACATAAATAGAAAGAGGGATCCCAAAAAATCAACAATCGCCATTGAATCAATGAGATTGGTATTTTAAATTTAAAAATTAAATATAAAAACACAAAAATTCGTGATGTTAAACGCATTTGCATTCTTCAATTTACGGGACAAATTGGCCCCTCCTAATTTTATTTTTTCAAATTGACCCTCTTGGTGGTGCCATTTATTTTCTAGATACAGTGGTGAAAGGTGGGTACGTGGTCAATGTTGATGAAGAGATGGAAGGAATGAGTCATCAAAGAGCACAGATTTCAGAAAGTCTTTTTGATTTTGTCGGAGTTGATTCACAGACGATATATGATTGGCATTATGGTAAATGAGATTACTTAAAATAAAGTATAATAAAATAAAAAAAACTCAATTTTATATGTGCTAAGATTTTCATAATTTACTTATTAAATTACTTAAAATAATTTTTAGTAATTAAATTTTATAAAATTTAATTTTTTATACTATTATAAAAAAGGCTTAAAATAAAAAAATAAATTAAGACTGAGCACCCACTAATCTAGAGATAATACAACTTGATGTGGGTGATGATGATAATAATGAAACCTTTGACTTCTCTTCCCTTTCAAGTAACTAACTTCATCATTCCTGGTGCTTCATCACAGGATTGGGACTACAGAAAGAAATGTGCCTTTAATTTTAACAACATAAATTTTGAACTTCCAATCAAATAATAACATTAATTTTTTGTCTTTCTAATTGATGGAAAAAATAGAATAGAAGAAATATTTAAATTATAATAATTAAAGTTTTTAAAAACAAAAATATGTAAAGTGTAAATGTAATTCATCATTAAAAAGGCATACCTTTAAGTTTGCCATCCTGAATCGTGTACCTCCACCATTGGGACACATTGTCCTATATATCCATGATGTCTTTTGGCTACTTTCTCTTTCTGTCCCATTTCTTTTGCCGAGTCGTGTCGGGGGCCCCAACCGTAATCCAAGAAAGGGTTAGGAAGGGGGCATTGGCAGTTGTTCCCTGAAGAACAGAATGGCAACAAAATTGACTCTTTGAAGCTTTTAAGGGGTGGGGGTGTTCTAGACTATTCAGTGCAAAATTCTGTTCTACAATACAAATGGGCTTTTTGGTTATTAGATCTAGCCCGATTAAATTAAGTTCGGGTTTGCCCAAATAACTTAAACCGGGTAATCCAATAACCTTGTAAAGTAGACAAGTACATAAAGAGAAGAACACCCAAAAAATGGTCAGCATGATTGAGGGTAGACACACAGGAAACCTCAATTGTGCTCCCTAATCTCTAGAATTATATCTCTTGTTCAGTAAAATTGGCAAATAAAAGTCTCTCATATTTACAGAAAAGCTAATGGTTGTGTGAATCATTTGGCTAAACAGAGCTCATTCCAGAAATTTGGGAATGAAGAACTAGACCTCCCCTCCCCCCTTCTCCAAGTCAAATTAGAAAAACTTGTAGTCATGACATTATAAGAATTTGTACTTCTTGGGAGCATATAACCTAGTTTCTTTTATTTTCTCTTGAGCTCTGCCCCTAATGTTACCCAAAATAAAATAAAAAAGAAAAGAATTTGACTCCAAATAAAGCTCAGAAAGTATTTGATCAGCACATGCTAAAGAGCTTGAGACAACGTAATAGAAAGTCATCTTTCAGAGAGCCACAAAGCAGAGTGGATTTTTAATTACCTTTTTACTAAAAAAAAAAAATCAGCGCTAATAGCACAGTTAAAGGTGACCTAATTTTAATTAACCTTGGGAAAAATTACATTATTAATTTCAATTAAGATAAAATTGGAGTTTGTTTCTCGATTGCACAGGTTTTGCAATGTTTTGACATGAAATTAACAAAAATGATGTTAAAAAATATAAAACTTATCCAACACCTGGCCCAATAGTTCTTGGCCCAAAATCCTGCCTCCGGTAACAGCCCATGGGCTTAAAGCTCATTTGAAAATTTAAAGGTCAATTTCAATTCAATTTATAAAGATGTTGATAAATTAAATTTTAATATAAACTAATTTAAATTTTAAAATTTGAATTTAATTAAAATATTTAATAAATTCTATTTAATCATAAATATTCATTATTTAAAATAAATTATATAACTGATTTATTAAAAAATTGAATATAAATTTTAATAATATTTTAAAATTAAATTAGAAATCTTAATATTAATAAATTTAAATCTATAGAGATTAATTAAAAAATTTAAAAATACTATAATTATTAAAAAGAAGTTGAAAAATTTAAGAGTAAATTTTTTTTATTAAATCAATTTTTTATCAAATTTTAGATTCCTTTAAATATATTTTAATAAATACATATTTTATAAATTTTAAATTAGATTAATATATGAAAATAGATGATTAGATTCAAATTTAAACTTATTTAAAAAAATTTTTTAAAAGCCCAAAAATGACGTGAAGCCTTGGACAATAATTCTTTTTTAAATAAAAGTAGAAGATAAGCTATTACAAATAACAGAAAAAAAAGAGAAAAATATATAAATTTTAATGGTGTTAAATATAAACGCGGCACAACAAATTAATCAAAAATGAGGAATTTTTGACTAACTTGTATATTATCATGATACCATTATATTAATATTTGAGGATGAAAAATAGGAGATATTTTGTATTTTCTTTGAAAAGCAATACACAGGAGACCCTACCCGTCCGACGAAAGCGAAACACCGCCGCAACACATCAATGAGTTCTCTGATAATCAGAAAATGTCAAGAATCTCGAGGATCCGACGGTTGCAGAGGGGACACGTGCCTCGATTCAACCACAGCTCCCGCGAGCACACCCGGCAAAATGTGTGCCCGCACGGTATGAACGCTGCGCCCTTTTCCTTTCCATACACACGCAGCACGTGGAATCGGCCCCCAAGTCATCTGCACCGTCTGTTTCCTCCAGTAGCATCATCAACGACACTCGCACAGGCGTTCCCCTCACCGCCGGCGGGCTTCCGCTACCAACGGTATCTTGGGCAGCCCGGAAGTGGCGCTCCGCGGCAAGCGCTGCAGCGAGGTTCATCCCGGCGACGCCGCCGGAGCTGCGCCGTAGCAGCCATGTTCGGCGGTCCTGGCCGTTGCCGGCGGAGTCTGAGCCACGTCCTCGGCTGTATGCCTTGATCTTGGTTTGCGAGTTCTTCGTGATCGTCGTCACCACGGACGCTCATCGACGATGCACTGTAGCGCCACGTGGCCCCACAGCAGCACCTGCCTTTCAATCCCAGCCGTTCCTTGATACTCCTCCTCCTTTCCACTCGAGCTCCACCACCGTCCATGCTCTCTTGTCCCAAGAAAATCAATGGTATCTCTCTCTCCACCCTGCAAAGCCCAAAGTCAATATTCCACCGATCTGTATTCCGACCATCTTAATACAAGTTCGCGTTTGTATTTATTTTTGAAAAGTGTTTTCTATTTTTTCAAAACGAAATCTCGCCTGGCATATTGTTTTGAAAGTTTTTCAGGGCAATTTTCGTAACTATGCTTTTTCTAGGGAAAAAAAAGCAATTTTTACAGAAAAATGATATCAATTAGGTTAATTTGTGTTTGCGTTATATTTCTAATACTTGTTTTCCTTTTTTGGTTTTCTCTACTGAAGATCTTGAAACTTCTATTATTTTGATATCGTTTTTACTTTTAAAGGAATGTAGTTTTAAAAAGTTTCTAAAACTATTTTCTTAATTTCAAAAATAAATTGTTCTTTTTCAAAAAAAAAAAAAGAAAGATTCTTCTCAGAACAGTTTATCCGAATAACTTGTTAAACAGGTCTTTTATTTTTTGAAGAATGAAAACAGTTTCCAAAAACAGATCGAAACAAGTTTTTAAATATACCGAACGGAAACTCAAAGGAGAAAGAACAGGAATTAATACGCAATGCATGTAAATGCGTACGCATGCTTACAGGTCCGGATTGATGAAAGGCTAATCCATGGAAATCCCAGAATCTCTTGACAGAGAGAAACCTCACTCCACCACCGCCTCCGACGCCGCAGCCTCTGCGGCCGGAGATTTAATTCAGAAATCGGCGAAGAAACAGGACAAGAGAGAGCGGAGCGGATTTTGCAAGCTTGGTAAGTCGTTAAAGGTCCGGTTTTGTGGCCGTGCCTTCGTTGAGAGCACCGTCATCAATGCAGAGTTCGACCGCAAACAAGGACAAAACAGAAGAAGAGGGAAAGAAAATGGGGTCTCAAAGGAATATTTTCTTGTGAGTACAGCTTTCCATCCTTGTAGATAGAAAAAAGACAAAGCTTGATGATGATGAGCATTGTTGCTTTTCTTGGCATTAAATTATAAAATAATTGAATTTTATAACGTCATGGAGATGAATTTTCAGAGTTTTGTAACGGTGGTCGCCGGCCATAACTCAGTCAAAAGCTATTGGAGATGGTGATGGCATCGCGGCTCTGCCATGTGGTACTTGCCAGCAGCTAAGCTCCGTTCACTGGCCAAAAAGAAATCGATATCAGTAAAATATTAATTATTTTTTAATTTATTTTTCGGGAACAGTTATTAAACATATTTTGTTCATCAAGTATAACGCTGCACAAAAGAATGAAAAAAAATATTTTTATTTAATTACAGACAAATAGAAAATTTCCATACTATTCATATTGAAATTATTTTTATTTTAGTTATATAAATACGGTTGAATCCATTACAGCGGATTTTCACGATAAAGAAATACTTTTTACTGTTAAAAGAAGTTAAATAATCAAACCAAACTCTTACCCATTTAATTTAATATATTTGTAAAACCCTTTATCTAAAAAGTAATTCGGAGGTCAGTCAGCAAATGAAACTAAACAATTAACACAAGAGCTTAGCAAATGTTGGGAATCTCGGGTCAAGTCCTATAATTGCATTACTGGATCCGATAACTTACAAATTTATATGGATTTGTTACTTGGGGCCCGACCCAATCATCACTCCACAGACGCAAATAATAGTATTGGTACAAATTGCAACGGTAGTCCTTTCAAAAAAAATATTACAATAATAGCCTTTATGTTCCCACAATCCCATTGGGTACAAAATTTATGAAGGTGTTAAAAAAGGCCACCCCGGAGAAGACTTATGGCACAAGACCAGGATTATGCATGTGCAATCAGTTTCAAGCATATGTTTTTTTTTTTTTTATAATCTGTGTAGATTAAAAATTTTATATTCTCATACTTTTCGTTAAGCATAAGAAAGATTTAAATAGTCTTGAATTTATAAATTCTAGACCTAATATTTTAAGTGTTTTTATTTTTACAACTGAAACAAAAAAAATTAATTATTTCATAATTTTATTAATGTTAATATTTTCAATTTTAAAATTTTCCGATTCCAACAAATTTATGAAATGACTTTGTAATTCGAAACCAATCACCATCTTATTCTTTAATCATCGTTGTTATTAATCCTCTACAAAGTCAACGACAGACGAGGTGCGGAGATTATATATATATATATATATATATATATATATTTTTTTTTTTGTCGCAAAAAGTAGCCAATAGTTCTAAAGCAATCACCACATCCAAATCCATGATCGACCTACCGAAATTTCACACGAGCGAGACGAATATTCTAGATTTTTCAATGCACGCCTGCACATGTTAAGTAAAGTTATTAAAAGCATGTCACAAAATATAACAACGTTCATTTTTACACTTCCACGTGTATAAAACTTCTTTGATTATATTTAAATTTTTTGAATAAAATTTTATAAAAAATATTTTAAAATAATAAAAGTTATAAAATTATATTTTCACTAATTATTTTCATATTTTTAATTTTAAATTTATATTTTATCATCTTATTAATTACTTTGGTCAATGTATTATTCTAATTCTATTTTATAGAAATAAAATAATTAATTTAATTTAATTTTTATTATTTTTAATGGTGTTGTAGTTATATCAACATTATATTTAAATATTTATAATTTGACTATTTTAATTTAAATTATTATTTATTATTTATATTACATCAATCATATTTATATTTTATAAAATTTTATACATATATTATATATATTAAATAATTTTACACTTCACTTTCAATTTTTTTATTTTTACAAATATTTTTGAAGAAAAATTCTCTTTTCAACAACCCTGATTGCATGCACACAAGCCTCCGATCAGGTCCCACGTGGCCATTTGTCCATCTATCTATTTCGCTAAGTTTCACGCTTCATCCTCAGCTGCTAGACCCCTTATCCACGTGTCCAGAGTTTGACCTCCAACGGCTGAGTTGAAATCCCCAATCTGCCCTGCCATCTGTGGATGCACCGCAAAATATATGACGAGCAAAATCGTCTTTTGATATTACATCAATCGTTCCTTGCCCGATCCGTCTTTCTCACTTCGTCTTCAAAGCCTGTACATGTGCAGAGACTCATTTCTTCCCTTGGTTTCGCCATCTCTGTTGAGCGTTCATCTTACGAATCTTGTATTCTCTTTTTACAAAGCTTCAGTCGAATCAATCCAGTGATAAAACAATGGCCGGAGCGTCTTCTTTGAATCACTTCTTTTGTAAGACTCTCTCAGTGACCTCCCAACTGTCTCAAATCAGCTCAAAGCCCGCGCTTTTCCCGGCAAACCTTATCGCTTTTCCAGCGGAGAGGCCGAAGTTCTCTTTCGGAACGAGAACCCTTTTTAGGGTGCGAGCGGTGAGCGAAGACGAGTGGGGGCCGGAGAGGGACGAAGCCGGCGTGGCAGTGGCAGAGGAGGAGCCGCCGAGGGAGCCGAGGAGATTGATCTGCTGAAGAAAAAGCTGGTGGGCTCGTTCTATGGAACCGATCGAGGGCTGAGGGCGACGAGCGAGACGAGGGCCGAGATCGTGGAGCTCATCACGCAGCTGGAGGCGAAGAACCCGACCCCGGCACCCACGGAGGCGTTATCCATGCTCAACGGCAAATGGATTCTTGCGTATGTTCTAAGAGGAAGCTTACAATTTGATTTTGCTGTGATTATTTGGACGAATTTACGAGTGACTTTTTCAATCAGATGATTATGCTATTCCTAATGAGGCGATTTTTTGATTAGATGAAGGATTGATTGGAATTTTATTTTTATGACATTGGAGTGTATTTAGTCTTTTTTGTAGTTGAATTAAGCTCAATGACCTTCGATAAAATGAGGTTGAATTTAGAACCGTCGGGAGCATTTCCTCCTCTTCCCCTCCCCCCAGACCCACACCGGCGAAAAAAGGGGAGAGAGAAAAAAAAAAAAAAAAAAAAACAGAGAGCATGTGGTGAAAGATGACCTGTAGATTGTAGTCTCTAGGGATGTTGAGCACTAGGATTTTAATTTGGATAACTCCTTCCCATTTTTGTTCTTGTTTAGGGTGTTAACAAGTGAGTTTTCTTGGTAGTTGGTGCTGTATATTAATGGAAGTTCCAGGTAGTGTTGTTGTTGCTTTCCATTCCTTCGTATTTGGCACCCATTCTTGTTTGCTTTCTCATGTATAAGATGCAGTTGCACGTGCCTGATGTGCTAATAGTGTTAGCTTGAAGTGTGTGACCAAACTGTCCATATAGCTACTCTCTAGTTACATGGGACATCAATTTCTTATGAATCATGTCAGTGACCTAATTACTAAACCTAACTTATTCATTACATGGCACTTTTAGACTGCGAGCTATTGTATCACTGTGACATATATTATAGCTCTTGACTTCAAGATGTTGTTTCGCGTTGAGTTGTTCTCGTGTGATACATTTCAAGTTGTTTCTGGAATCCATTTTGTGTAATCATTTCAATACATGCTTCGTAATGATAGGGGAAGAAAAGAAAAAAGACAAGGAACTGAAACTATTGCATGGCATGTTCAAGAAAACCAGAAACAGCCGGTAACAGTGGTTGCTGAAAGCCTAAAATGGTTCTTTAGACCATGACTGAATGCATGATCATTTTCTTTATCTATTCCTCTAAACCATATTTTGTTTTACATTATGTTTATTGAATCAGCTTGTTTACAGTATAATTCTAGTACCTAAATATCTGCTTTTCCAACTCTATACACACATAATGGGAACTGTTCCCAGTTACAAGACAAGGTCCCCATACATTTTGAGTAATAATTCTTTATGGGAAGGAAATGTGCTGGAAATTGTTAAAAATGGTGCTTTACAATGGAAATGAGTGGTAATTAGAAATTAATATTGATAATGACTAGAATCTTGCGTATTGAAGTCCTGAGTCCTGAAGAGACCACTGTTATTATGAAAATCTGAAGCTTTCCATTCTTCCGCCTAACTACACTTGTATTTCTGTATGAGATACAGCGAAAGGGCATCCATTAGATTCATTCTTTGCTTCAATTTAAATTATGGGTGTCATTTTGTGGTATCCTATTCCATTGGGATTTGAGTATGTGATAATATGGTGTATAAGACTTTTGAAGTTCAATATTAAACACCTTTAGCTTAAGCGTTTTGGACTAAAAACATTTTGGATTAGTAATTTAGTCTTTGCAAGTTGTGAGGGTCAATGATTCTCTGGTTGTTATGCATTCATTAAATATGATTCCGTTGATTCTCTATTTTTCTTATAAGTGATAATTTACTTGAAAATCTTTTGTTAGACATGGTAATTTTGATTCATTTGAGCTTTGATATTGAAATTTTATATGAGAATTTGCAGGTACACATCATTTGTGGGCTTATTCCCTCTTTTGTCGAGAACACTACCACTGGTTAAGGTGGAAGAGATATCACAGACAATTGATTCACAGAACTTTACAGTCCAGAACTCTGTCCTGTTTTCTGGACCACTGGCTACCACTTCTTTTAGCACCAACGCAAAATTTGAAGTCCGAAGTCCAAAGCGGGTTCAGGTTAATTTTCTAAACTTCCTTTTTTGTCATATTTTATTAATCATGTTTTCTGGCCGCTGCGTTTGGAGATCTAAAAATGAGTTCCTTGTTTGTTTTTTGTTTTGGAAGCATAGTTTCATTTCCTAGATTTCTTTTTCCCCAAAAGCATATTATCAGGAATAGATTTCCTTGTGCTTATACACGTGACTCTGATTATTTAAGATGGGGTTGTTACCTATTATGCATAGGATTTGAAAATATGCCAATTCTATAGACCTATCATGACTCAAATTATGAATTCAGAACATCAAGCTGGAATTGAATAGCTACATCATTTTTAAATCTCAAATTGGGGACAATGTTTTGTTTGACTTTAAGATCAGGGAATATTAGAGAACTTCTTTTGGATGGGAAGAACGATAGTGTGATTTTTCTAAACAAATGTAAGCAGACAGTGTACGTCTTCATTTAAATTTTTGCTACTAGTGCCAACTTTTTCAAAGTTGTAAATGATGTGCTGCATATCCATATATATTTGTCTTTATAGTTTACAAAAGTTTAGACACAGCATAAAGGTTACCAGAGATTCCCAAGCGTTCATCTCTTTCTGTCTCTGTCTCTCTGTTTTTCTTTGGACTTCTGTGTTATGTGATGGTTTATATGAAGAATGGTTTAAAAACTTTTGTGCTCCTAAGTCACTAATTTCTATTTTGGCCTAATTCAGATCAAGTTCGAAGAAGGCATCATGGCACCCCCCAGTTGACAGATTCCATTGTGTTGCCAGAAAATGTGGAGCTTCTAGGACAGAGGATTGATCTTACTCCCTTCAAAGGCATACTCACCTCGGTTCAAGACACAGCTTCATCTGTAGTAAAGACCATCTCCAACCGCCCGCCATTGAAATTCAACATCCCGAGCAACACCAATGCAGAATCGTGGTTACTCACCACATACCTTGACGAAGAGCTTCGGATTTCAAGAGGAGACGCAGGGAGTATATTTGTACTCATCAAAGAGGGAGCTCACTCTTGTTACCTTGAACAACTTCCAAAAGAGGAGCTCTGGATTGACATGTCGAAGTATTGTTTGTAAATTTACATGGAGAATGAGGTCGAGATCTTTGTTTTGTATGTATATTTGGTTGTGGTTCAGTATTAGTAATGGAAGTTCACTTACAGTGCTTATTAGTTTTTATGTTGTAGAAAGAGATATTGGATACACTAATAATCAAAATGAGTTTGTTTAGATACTAATGATTGTTGATTGGTGGAGCTAAAAATTACATAAATACATAGGAATGCGATAGATGCTCCCACCAAATTATGAGTGTAAATTATAGCGGTAGTGCTATTACTTTGCTCTTGTTATTTATTTCACTATCCTTCCAAATATAGCAATTTAAGGGGAGTTCATAACTACTTTTCAGAAGTAATTTTAACGTTTTTTAGTAATTAAGAAGTGATTTTAAGTGTTTATAATATAATTTTTAACTTCTATTTTTCTTAAATTAAGCACCAAAAGTGGAGAAGGATGCAGTTAGGAGAGGAGGTGCTTTTAGTTTTTGATAACATCTATGTAATTACTTAAAAGTTATTTTAGAATTATTTTAACATTTTTAACTTAATTTGAATATTATCCTCACTTCTCACCATTTGTTGCCACCCTCTACCCATATCTGGCGTGGTGGAGGTCCACTGAATGCTATGCCCAATGGCAATATAATAAAATTGACCTCAATGGAATTACATGAAGTGTAGGATAAAATTGATCAAATTGAAAAGATAAAGACCAAAAACAAACTGAATGAGATGTGCAGGACTACTGCTATAAACCGAGAAACAGTTGCAACCGTTTGATTGTAAGAAATGGACAAGAAGCTCTCTAGGTTTTATAGGAGGAAAAAAAAAAAAAAACAAACTAATGCTCTGTGAGAAGTGGCTTTTGGAAAAAGCTTCTACGGGTTGTTCTTAACTCAAATTATCTCAAATTTTCATAAACACACACATATAAATGCATATATTATTACAGAGAAATAACGATACTTTAAATATATAAATGGCCTCTTTTAAAAAATATGTAACTTGACACCGGATTATATTAAAAAATAGGTAAAAATTGAAAGGTTTTGCTTTGTTTAGGCAATAATGATGGAAAATTAGAGAGAAATGGTCAATGTACAGATTTATTGATGAACACTACTGCTATTGTTAGCTAGTTAACGTCTAAGATCAAAATTTGAAAAATAATTAATATATCGTGAGTCAACGCCCAAGTTAATTCTGAAAATTGGTAAATCACTTGACAACCTTCTAAAAGAAAAAAATATTGAATTAACCCTCCTTGTGAAAAATCATATAGGTAGTCAAGTTAATTAGTTAACCAAGCAACTGGTACTTTTGGTTTGTGTTTGATAAAGTTTTCGTTTCTCTGTTTACGGAAATTTGTGAATTAAAAAAGAACATAACAGTGACAAATAAATATTATTAAATTACAACTTAAATTTAGTATTCAACTTTTGATTAGATGAATAGATGTGTACTTGCTGGATAGTACATTTAGCAATCGTTAGACATATCAAAAATTATGAATTTTTCATATATCTAATAGCTGCTTCTCACACATCTAACGGTTCTTAAGTGTGTCCTTTCTAATTTTTGTTTTTTCCTTTTGAATATATTTTTCCTGGAACTTTCGTAGAGATGGCCCTCGTATTGCCGAAAATCACCCAGATTTAGTCAATGCAAAAGATGGTGATGATATGACTCCTCTTCAACTTTTAGCCTGTAATCCACATATCGGCTTTTCAAAGCGGATGCAAACAAGGATTCGTGGAGCGACATTTATGCTCATGTATGGTCCCTCCCATCTGCCTTCATCTTTCACCCTCTCCACATCAATCGAACATTAGCAGACAAGAGAAAATATAGTTATAATTTTTTTTTGTGGTTTTTTTTGATTGTTTTAAAAAAATTGGGAGAAAACTTAAAGGAAATATATTGCCATTCCTCCTTGCTTGAGATTGAGGACGACAGTAAAGAGAAGAAAAGGGAAAGGAAATCTCTTTATCATGTTTTATAGGAAGTATAGAAATGTTTATTAAAATAAAAAATGGGTAAAATATTGATTTTTTTGTGCTCTCCAAGTCTCTCTTCTTCTGCCAATCGCAAGAATCTCTATCTTTACAGGCGTCTCAATTGCCCAGGATACTCTTGACAAGGTAAAAGGTATAAAATTCGTAATGAAATTCTTAATTCCCAAGTACCATAGAGGAAAAAAATAACTTGAATCTTGCTTAAGCACTTAAATTCAGACACATTTGTTTAATTGTTTATTTGCTTTAATAATTGCATAGATGCACAACCAATAATGACCTCTACTGTTTGAAAAGTTACAACATGTTGTGGAATACCTCGATGGGAAGAAATTCGGGATAAGAAAAAGCTGCATGAATCGGCTCTTAAACTTGCCAAGTTCTTAGTAAAGCAAGATATACCTCATAAGAAGGTTACAGAAGTTGCAATAAACGTGGAAAGCCCAAGATCCTTCACTATGTTGCCTCTTCTTCCCTCCATCAAGAGGCTTGTGGGGGAGAAAATACATCAACAAATAAAATTAGCGCTAAAAAGATTGATTCTTCCCTACATCAAGAGGCATGCGAGGGAGAAAAGACGTCAATAAATCATATTAGAGACAGAAAGATTGCTCCAACCCCACTCATTCTATCCACTGAGTGGGGAATTAAAGAGATCGTTGAAGAAATACTTAAAATATATCCTCAAGCAGTTAAGCATGTTGATCACGAAGGGCGTAATATTTTGCATGTGGCAATCACATTCCAGAAAAAGCCTATATTCCATCTTGTGAAAAAAATGGAAGGTCCCATGTTGTGGCTTGTGGGAAAAGCTCAACAAAAAAGGGAACTCCATCTTACACATGGTAGCAATTAAAGTAGACAACAAGGTAGTCGAAGAAATGCGAAGCCCTCTAGTGGTGTTGCAAGAAGACTTGCTATTTCTAGAGGTGCACTCGTCATCTTGAACTTTGTTTTTGATTTTCCTAGAAGTTATAAATTTAAATTTTGAAAGAGATTGAGAGAACTAAACCTTTTCATTTCTCATAATAATCGGAAGAGAACTTCTTCAACCATAAGAAAATCTCACTCAGTTTATTCACTTTTAGCATTGGACAGCTTGCATAGTTGCATTTCCTTAATTTGTTAATTGGTAGCAAGTGGACTAGAGGAGAAGAGGTTTAGGCCATGTTGAAGATTTTTATCTATTTTTATTCACAGATTTTTTTAGTAAGTTAAAGACTTGGCTTCCCAAGTGTTCAAATTAAGGCATCTTGCTTTAAGCCAAACATACAGAAAATGATGTCAATGAGGACCTAAAAAACTACTGTAACTTAGAGAAATTGCTATTTTTTAAACTATCATTCTTTCTTGCAACATATAAAGAGAATCTTAGACTATTTTGTCAATCATCTCAACCATGAGAATTTCTCTATTGTTGCCGTGCTGATAGCCGCAGTTGCTTTTGCAGCAGCCTGCACTATGCCAGGAGGTTTAAATGAAGAAACAGGTTATCGAATTCTTGTTGACAAGCCCTTCTATTTTTTTAATTTTATGAACTTCACACTCGCAGATGTGCTCTCCCTCACGTTTGCTTTGACATCAGTTATCACATTTCTTTCAATTCTCATATCGTCTTTCCTATTAAAGGACTTCATGCAATCCCTTCCTCAAAGACTCATATTGGGAATCACGTTATTGATCGTGTCGGTGTCGATGATGATGGTCGCGTTTGCGGCAACTGTGGTCCTAATGTTGCACAATTATTGGGAGTGTATAAGGATTGCCTTGTACAATGTGGCATTTTTCCTATCTTTCATATTCGGATTCTCATACCTGCCTCTTTTCTCCACGCTCCTGAAAACGTCGCCATATTCTCTCGAGAATATCAAAGGTAGCCTGCTCAATTTTCTGCAATCATGGATTCCCAGTGCATCTGGGGCTCATAAGTCCGAAACCACAGTTGCCGCAACCCATGGTCAATCTGGAGCCGGTGGTTCCGCTGGTTTAGAATGGCCGTTGGCCACTCCCACCACTCATAGTCCTGTTTGAAGGTCTTAATTCCAGCATCTCTAAGCTCATAATTTTTATGAGAAACTACACATGTTTATCCATTTCTAGTACCATTATATGATGCCGTGCTGCCTCGATCGTCACTTTTCCTGAAGAGTTGAGCCTGAGCATCTACTTTCTTCTTCAACTCTGCAACCTAAATATGACTGATAATTAGAAAACCAAAACCAGGTACACAATCTGTAAACATAAGGTTAGACAGAAAAGTAGAGGCTTACCCTGTGCTCGCTGGGCATATAACTTTCAAACATATTCCACCTCGAGCTTTTCGAAACTTCCATCAGAAGTGGACGAAATATTTAAAAGATTGTGCCTTAGGTCTTCTCTCTCTCTGTGCCAATTGCAAAAATAAGCAACGAACAATTTCAGTATATACATTAACTTTATTAACCAAAACTAACCTGCATGGCGGTTTTTTAAGCTCCATTCATGAACTTTCTTCTTATAATGTTGAAGTATCAACACTTGTAAACCGCCTGAAGATCTTCAACTTTTGAGGATATTCCGTGCTAGTGGCGTTGTTCGAGAAAAATATGAAAAACTTTTGGTAAGTTAAAAAAATATGAAAAAAATTGATTACTCAAAAAAAAAGACGTGTTTACAATTAATTGAGAAGGATACAGATATTTTGGTTACTTAAAAAATATGAAAAAATTTGGTTAATTAAAAAATTTATTTAAAACTACAAATTTTTTTTTATTGTTTTATTTCTTTTTTTTGTAGTGTGTTTTATATTAACTTTAAATAAACAAAAGAAATCTAAAAGAGTCCAAAACAAACTAAAAAAACCAAAATTTGAAAAACTTAAGCTCCGTTTGTTTTGTTTGAGCGCCACCATTGCCTTCTTTTGACCCCCCCACGATCCATCTCCAACGACCATCTCTCCACTCTAGCCCCGTTACTACCCCTTTCTGACCACCACCACCACCACCCCCACTTTAACTAATGT